GCGGTGTGGTTGCTTTGAGGGCTGAGACCCAAGTCTTTCCTCTGGCCTGGCCGCTTCCTGGGCGGTGTCAGTGTCTCTTCGCTGATGCCAGGGTTAAAAATAGTGATAAAGGAGGACATTTTCAGGAGGCAAAGACCACACCTCTGGGGAGGTGAGAGAACTTCAAGGTGCGACTTGCTGGGAACCTGAGCCCGGGGCACCACGTCCCTCTTCCCTCCGGGCGCTCGGCTTTTCCTTCTCGATCCCCAAGACCCTGTGGGCATGGGGGCCCTGCAGAGATGTCTCCGGGGTCTCCTCAGGCTGCACACAGCCTTGTCCCAGCTTACAGTGCAGGGGCATCTCTTCACACTCACACTGCACTTTTCTAAACTTACTCATTGCACAAGTTGGAGGGGGTGGAAGGGTGAGCCTCAGTTTCCCCCTAGAAGGAGGAGGGTCTCAGCACACACGCAGAGACCTGGTTACAGCAGCTCAGGAGACGGCTGTGGCTCTGTGCCCGCCTCACCTCCCTGTCCCTTGGGCACTCTGATGAAGTTCTTGCCGGCTTTGGCGTGAGGAGCTCCTTAGGGGCCCCGAGCTGTGGGGCGCGAGGGTTGCTACACAGCACGAAGATGCTTCACCCTGCGTCTGGCCCAGAGGGGGCCCAGAGGGGGCCCAGAGGGCCATGGACAGCATTGGTTCCAGCATAGCCCGAGGCGCACAGCTGCCTCCTCGTTACTTGGCGTGAGAGAGGGGCCGCAGGGGGCAAGCAGGGGCGCCAGGCTTCCTTGTCGCTTCCACCTCAGCCTGCCGCCTCAGGCCCGAGCCCGTGCTCCTTTCCACGGTTGCACATTGTGTGGGGGACGCAGCATAGCTGGGGCCTCTGCAGAGAGTGGACTTCCTGGTCACCCAGCTGCAGGTGACGCTCGGCAAGAAATGGCTGCACCAGGCCTGCCACTGCGCGGCCCCAGTGCCATCCTGGAGTCCCTCTTCTGTCCTGTCTCCCTGCAGCCCCAGGCCTCCTCCTGTGCACCTGCCTGGTGCCTCCTGTCTCGCATGGCCTTGCTCATTTGCACAGGTGTGCAAGGAGGCCACAGCCCTGGTGGTGATGCCCGGAAACCCAAGGTCCTGAGAGCAGCAGAGCGACTGCTTTGAACCCAAGTGCAGTGTAAAATGCAGCAGGCTGTGCACGCTGTGACATGCGCATGGCTCTGCGTGGCCGTCGCCCCGTGCGGATGGGCTGCCGTACTGCCAGGCCTGGCACCCAGGGGCCCAGCGGCTCTGCAGATCTCAGCTAATTAAAACTGAGCCAGTCAGGACTGTGTTTCTCACCTACCTGCCCGAGTTCGAAGAGCTTGGAGGCTGTGTGTGCCTAGGAGCGACTGCAGACACCACATAGTGCCAGCCTCCCACGGTGGCAGAGTGCTGTGGGCAAAGCCTTTCTGCACCTCCGATGCCCCCTGTCCCCCAGCCTTTGTGCCACCCTGACAGCCAGCCCCAAGGTGGCCAGAGTCCAGTGTGCAGACAGTGAGGCCAGCTGAGAACAGCCCGTCTCATCCCAGGAAGCCGGGATGTGTAAAGGGACTTCACAGACGTCATGAAGACAAAGATCTTGAGCGGGGTGCCCGGGACACCCCACGGTCCAGTGTCAGGACAGGGCCCTCCCAAGGAAGGCAGGCGGGTCACACTCAGGAGATCTGGGACACCATGTTGCTGGCTGGCACTGAGGCCAGAGCTGGGTCCCTGAGCCGGAGAACTCGGCGCCTCTGGCAGCCGGGAAGGGCTGGCAAACAGGTGCCTTGAGCCCTGGAGGAGCTGGCCCACTGACACGCTGACTTAGCTTGGCGAGAGATTTTGGACTTTGCCCAGTGCATCTGACAGAAGCCACTGAGCCCGTGGCCATGGGGTGCGGGGGATCCGTGGTCCTGTGACTGAGCCCCCTTCACCAGAGACACAAGTGGGTGGCTGCATTTCCCAAATGGCAAGAAGTATTTTGGGTCCCAACTGAAGCTAAGAGTAGCTCCTCCCTTCCCATCTGCAGGACAGTGCATCATCCAGTGCTCTGCTGTCAGTTGCAGCCACATGTCATCAGCTGTCTCCACGGCACCCAAAGTGCCCGGGAGCAGGACCAGCTCCACTGCCTTCACCTGCTGCCTCTCCAGCAGGGGAAGTGCACCGACCCCGAGGCTGCTTCTGCGTTCACCACCAGGCTCCCTGGCTGCAGGCTGCTGACGCCAGAGGAAGTTCTGCCACCGGGGGAGAAGCATGCAGCCCGCCAAAGTAAACCCTGGTGTGACACGGGTTCGCTTTGATTCTAGGTGCTATTTGTGGACTAACGAGACGTGTTCTTTATCTCTCCAGGGAAGCGGAGCTTGTCACCGTGCCTTGGGAGACAGGACAGCTTTGCTTGACTTTTGGTGCTGTTGTTCATTGCTGACCTGACAGTACAGAATCATCCCAAGATAACATGATTAGGTTTTTTGTGGAACTGTGTGTCTACACCAGGGCAAAGAATTTAATGTTATATTGATTGGGACTTTTTCTAATTAGCAAAGAAGAACCCAGACTGGTGGAGCTGAAAGGGCACCTGCCAGCTGGTGGGACGGTCACTGGCCAACGGCAGACCTAAGCCAGGCTCAAGTGGTGGGGCTCAGCCCTGGACGCTGCCCCTCTTGGTGGCTACCTCCCTGCAGTACAAGGGGGCTCCCAGGACACTGAGGTCATTCCCATGTGTTCATGAAATAAGTGACCACACTGTTAAAAGCCAGGCCACCTCAAGAGGAACTGCCCTAAGAGGACCCATGGGCCATGCCCTGGATGCAAAGGAGACCACTGGAGATCGGTCTGCCCTCTGAAGTGGAGGCCCCAGAGCTCAGACCCATGCTACCAGTTAGTCCAACAGGAATGAGAGGGCTTGGGGCATGGTCTGCCTTCTCCCTCTGGCCAGACC